TGTTTGAAAAATTAGTACTAATATCTATTAAGAAACACTTCCTTACTTGCCCCATCAAAGCAAATGAAAAATTCTACTAATTCACGAACTCATTTCACGCTTTAGATAAAAGTAATTTTTTTGTTTCTAAACTGAAATAACTACTGCATTAGCTAAAAATGAGTATGGGGCTTGAACTTTTTCAGCTTCGAAAAATCTGTAACAAAAATTGAAAAAAGGAGGAAAAATTCTACTTATATGAACAAAAATATGTACTTACATAAGTATTCAGCTGCCTTACAAAGCTCGAGAAATTATTATGCTTAAAGTATCTTGGAAGAACACTGGTGGAGAAAGAATGGGGATCCCACACAACAAAACTATGCCCCCCTCTGTTCCAAGAAACAATATTATCAATGGTCGAATCCTCCACCATTTCAAAGGTTTTGGTCAAAAATGGTGGAGGGCCCATATCGTGCAGCCCTTCCATTGGCTGCGGTGGTGGCGGTGGCGGAGGCGGAGGCGGGGGCGCCACTCCATCTGACTGATTTCTTGATTGCCATGCAGTTGAACTTGATGATCCTCCTCCCGGATACTCTTCCTTCACTGGATATATCGGATTCATTATAAAGTTTTCTTATATATTTCTTATGATGTTCTTATTACAAGATATGCAAAAACTTATGAAATTCAAAGAAAAAATTGCAGGGTTCATGAATTTTGAAACAAAATTTCAAAAAATGCGAATGTAAATTGGAGAAGTTAAAGATAAAGGATACTTTTAGAAAACTTTCTTGCTAATCTTTCTCTTTTAGGAAGGTCGTTTGAGCAGTTGAGATGATGAATGCTAGGAAGAGAGCTGAATTTAATCCAGGTTGGGTGGTAATAAAATATCCATTTTAATGGAAGTTTCTAGATCTTTTTGGACATTGGAGGTGGCATCTTTTATTTTATTAAATTGCCCTATCTTGTTTTTGGCAGAAAGGAAAGTTCCATAGAAAGTTCTGGAATTCTTGAAGTGGTGATATGGTGGGAGTGGCTTTGGTTTTGAATAGATAATTTGAGGGATTTGATTGGTGGAGGAGTGAGTCCCACTTACAATTGGGTGACATCAGTGCTTGTCACCACTTGATTGCTGCACAATCATAAAATCATGCCCAGTTTTTAAGAGCAATTAGTTGACTTTTTTTCTTTGGCTCTTCGTTGAGAATAAAGGTCATGTTTGAGGCTTTGAGCCACATTTTTAAATGGTAATTCGATATCAACATGTTTTAATAAAATAATATTTACACAAATTTAATTTTTTTTTTCATTTTTTAACCATACATTTTTCATCAATTTACTATTTCGAAACGGAAAATTCCTAATTGTACATAATGATGTTCATAATGTGATGTGACAATTATCTGATTATTGATGTGCAAGTGTGAGATTTGAATTAAATGATGGATCTAGTGTCACGTGTAATTATGGACATCATTATATAAACAATTATGTACATGTAGCATTTCTTATTCCGAAATACATTATTTCAAAATAATATAGCTCAAACACACACACACACACAGAGTAGTTTTTCAGAAGTGACTCGATTATTAATTCGGGATTAGCATAATTAATGCTACATAATATAATATTGTGATATTAATTTATAAGACAATTTGCAACTCATAATTTTACATTTAGGGCTTGTTTGAGCCACATTATTTTCAAAAAAAATATATTCTTCAACAGTGATTTGACATCATTTCGATCACACATTTTTCAATAAAATAATATTAAACGTAAATCTAAAATTTTTCCTTATTTTTTAACCACACATTTCCCATTAATTTAACACGAATAATGTATTTTTTCTTAAAATGTGGTTCAAACATGGGCTTAATTTTTCGTCACATGACAACACTTAATACTATTATTTAACACCAGTTATGCTGCATAACACTTTCTTTCAGCTAGTATAAAATTAAAATCACACAATTATCAAATGTGAATATAATATTTTATTGTATTTATGTTTACTTCATAAATAGATAAAATATTTAGTTCTTATATTTACACGTATATCTTAATTTATACGTATCTCTTGCTTTGTACGTGTCTCTTCTACATTTCATCGAATTTAGGTAACACCCAACTAGAAAACTTTAATGTAAGAAGGACAAAACCTTCAGTATACATGTTCTTGTGTGTTTAAAGATATTGAGGACACGTTCGATCCACATCATTAATTCAAAAATAAAATAATATTTGAGTTCTTTAATGTTAATGCTTGACAACCCAGCAAATAGACATTAAACAAGTTGCATTACTTTGATATATATTATAATAGTAAAGTTGAATAAACAAAGGCCACAGCCCACAGAATCCAAAAGACTTTTTAGATATTTATATATATTAATAATTTATTCGATTTAATAATATTATCGAACCTTGCTTTGATGTTCTAGAAAATTCTGGAGTTTCTCTAATTATCGACCGTAGGTGTCGTGAGGTTAGTGGTAAAAAGTTGGATAAAATTTCATTATAATTTTTTTTTTATTGATTCCAAGAAGGCAAATGTTTCTTCGACAGAAGTTTGATCATCATCAAATTAAATTAAATTTTTTCCCTCATATTTTCAACCACACAATGTTCCATAAAATAACATTACACGTAAATAGAAAAATTTTCTTTTTTTTTCACCCTTCCATCCTTCAAAAAAATATTATTCCATCAAATAAAATTTAAAATAATGGGGACTTAACGTTCGTCTTTGAATGAATAAATAAATATTTTGGTAGAAGAAGTGCATAACATGGTAGAAGAAGTGCATAACATTTGCCATGGAAAACATTTTTCACCATTCCTTGCCACCTAGACATTTTCTAGGTTTTGGATGAAAATTCATTTTCTAGGCCAATGTAGTAAGTTTTTATTTTATTTTTTTTCTTTTTTTTTCGCAATGGAACAAATTCTAAAAATTATTGTAAAAAAATATTTCCCTTTAATTAATAATTTCCATGAAAAATAAAGTCAAATGAATATCAAAAGATAGATGATTTTCCTTTTTCTTTTTTGCTTTTTTGTTGGCAATAGAAACAAATTTTATCCCCAATACCAGTAAATTCTATTCATTTAATTGACAAATTTCATGTAAAAAAAAGTCAAACGAATATCAAAAAATACTTTTATTTCGACATTTTCCATGTAAAATATTATACCAATCAAACACAATAATTTACAATTATCAAGAAAACGATTCCTAGACAATTGAATTCCCTGAAATTCGTTTTCTTTCCACCCAAATTCCATCTTTACAATCAAACGGACCCTAAGTGCTATAAAACTGGAATTTGACTATTGTCAAGAAAATTTCTGTTTAGGGCCCACTAATGTGCTCAAGGTTGTCACACTAGCCATGCGAAGTTGCAGTTTTTCGACATAGGATTGTATATCACCGCCCATTTGAAGGAATTTAATTGGTTGGTGAGTTAAATCGTAGCGGACCATAATGACACTTAAAATTTAGGCTTGTGTCCTAAGTCATCCTATCATATTCCTAATTAGTTTATTTGAACAGTACTGCCATCAAGGGAAAGCACTTCATCTGTCAGTTTTCATATGACACCTCTCATAGTCCGACTTCGACCTTTATCGATGGGATACTACCTATCTAGACTTTTCGACAAGTAGCTATTTTGATCAAGTCAAGGAAAGCCTTTAACCTATCCAACTTGAAATTCATGTAGGCAACAACGATAACCAACTTTTACAAGATTAAAGATTTCGTGTCGCAAATATTNTTTAACCTATCCAACTTGAAATTCATGTAGGCAACAACGATAACCAACTTTTACAAGATTAAAGATTTCGTGTCGCAAATATTCTAAAGCAAATGGTTTACACATTTTAGGTTGATGTTTTGGAAATTTGACAAAAGTCGATATTTTTTGAAAGAAGTTTTTAATACATCAGATATACACAGGCTTGCGACGAGGATAATTGTATTGAAGAAGGGGGTGTCACAAGGCAGGCAAGTGATATGGCGATGGTCCGATATTTAAGCCTAATCAAGAATAAGAACTGATAACAAGAAAACATTTTGATTCTTAATCTGGAGGGAGGAATTCAAGTGCTCAAGTCCAAGAAAACCCACATTTAAATCAGAAAAATGTATTATATATTGACAAACAATTCAAAGTATATTACAATTTTTTGCCAAAAACAAAAGGGAAACGATAATAATACAAGGAAGGCACCTACTAGAATACACCAGTAGCGTGTTTGGTAAGGTAGATTAAATAGTACCGAACAGAAAAACAAAGCTAAGATTTTGTCCATTACTATCATGTACGATCTAATGCTATATACAAAACATGCACGGTATGTTACAAGTCGAAGATTATTCTGTCCTCCCCCAGACAAAACAGACTAAGCATTTTCCTTTTTCTTTTTGCCCCATCTTGGTTTAAGGTTCTTGGCTGTTCATGCGACTATGAAGTTCTAGCATCTCTTGGTGGTCGGGATCGACTGAAAGAGCAGCCCGACAGTCTCGCAGGGCCCCTGTAACATCGCCCATATGTTCGTGGAATGCAGCGCGTAGGTGAAGAAGGTGAAGATCCGCTTTGAATGAAATAGCCCTCGATAGTTCTGCAATTGCCTCATCCTCCTTGCGATTGTCCATCAACACTACACAATAACAGTTTGAAATCACCATCAGAAAACATGACAAGAAGATCGAGTTGATGGAATGGCAGTATCATTCTCCACCGATTGAAGCACAAGATCCCCCTCCATGCCCACCCCGAAATAGAAAAAGAAAATCACTGAGTGGAAGTCATTATGGAACTATGAATCCAACTTTCGCTACAAAAGTATAGAGATGACTCAAGAGCAGGTCAAACCAAATAACAGCAGCAGCAAAAAAAATAAAATAAAACTAGGCCCCTGTCATGAATAAATGTGAGGTCGGCTACATGAATCATTATTCAACATTTCTTTCTATTCATTGCTTGATCTACTGGAGATCTAAAACAACTAGGTTCTTAGCTACCATGAGGTAAGGTTAATTTCATAATTTGTGTCTACACCTCCATGTTACTAACTTAAATTGCATCACTGTCTACACCTTCTAACTTACTCTAATGAAATTGTGTACAGTGTCTTCTCTCTCTTTATGACAACCAAGGTATAGCCAGAAGTCAATCTCTTTAGCAATTAGGCACTCAATTATGGACACAGGACAAATAATGATTATCCCGTGCCTTTCCGTTCCAAAATTCCCAGTCTAATTTTGTTTTGCACTTATCTTGTGATCTCTACATTAGATTAATAACGAGATAACTAAAGAAATCCAATAGACAACAAATACTTCTGTCTAATGTGTTTATCCACATTCAATGTCTTGGGTTCCTTAGCATTTCTTATGTACCATTCCTCCTCCAATATCTTAGCCCAACCTACATGCCCCGTTCCAATAGATAGTTCCCATGCATCTATTGGCTTATTGCTTCCACATTTCTGTAGAAAACTCTTCAATGTGGAATTTGATCCACCCCACAAGAAAAAAGTCCCCCCCCCCCCCCCCCCCGGGGTAGAAAATCATCACTTACATAGGGACATTGAAAATTGAAGAAAAAATCTAACCTGCAGCTCGATATCTGTACGGGTAAACCCTTAGAGGATCTAAGCGAGTGACCATATCTAGATCTGCCTTTGTGAGTTCATTCTCACAGTACTCGGACCTTTTCTCATAGGCAGATGCATTGTTCCTTGCCTTTTCGATCAGTTTACTCATCTCAGCATATGCAGCATTTTTATCATTTCTCAAGAAATGGACACGGGCGAGGCCTTGATGTGCTCGGGTATGCCGAATTTTAAGGGCATTGATGTAGCAATCAGCTGCTTCATCTAGTTTACCACAATCAACATAGACACTTCCAAGATTGTTTAGGGCCTACCATAAATACATAAAAAATGATCAATAAATGTTGGAGCAATCTATTATATGGCTGGTAGGTCAGTAATAAACAGAAAATTAATGGAAAAATATCAAGAGCAAAAAAATGTCAAGTTGATCGAGAAATAAATACATATCCATTGTCAAGAATGCCAACATCAGCTCGTTTGTAAAGTGACTGTTTTCTTTCAGAAAGCAATCATATCATCTTTTACAAACCATAGTTTGAGTTCAACAAGAGGCTTGAAAGATTAAGCATTTTTTTTTAAAATTCAGTGGATGCTTCTCTTTAGTTTGGCCAGGCAAGGTCCAAAATCACCGACTTATCAGTATGTTAGTATCGAAAAATTGAAAATATCAACTAATTACTAAGAGCGTGTTAAGCTTAAAAAGGTAAAAGTTACTTCCAGTAATTTCTAGTTTCTGATTTGGATATGTTAATTCTAAGTTAAGAAGGTTCTTATTTTGAATGTTATTCTTACCAACCTGTCAAAATAAGCAACTCTCTTATATCCAAATTATAACCAATCAAAAAATTATTATAAGTGAACTTTTTAAGCTTAGCGAAACATCCTCTAAAGCTAATCACACTTTGATGGCTAAATCAAGCAAGATTTGGGGTCAAATATAAATTAAGACAGGTCAAGTGAGCTCATGCATGCAACTACCAGTATAACTGTTTCTGAAAAGCTAACACGTGTATGGTACTTTTTAAGTTCACTGATAGGCGAAGTGTTCCAGTATTCAAGATCCATCACCGACTCTGGCACACAACAAAAACTGATAGCATTGCTGTATCATCACAACCCACTATCGAGGTTTTTTCAGTTACAAACTACAAGAAAATCATACCTGACCTTTCCGAAGTCTATCTGAGGGGCATTTCTGGGCTTCATGGAGAAGCAATATAACATTGGATGAAGATGATGGATCCAGACTAGAGTCAGCTAATGCATAGGCTTTTAAGAAAAACGCCTCAAATGATCTTTGGAGACTAATAGACTCCTCAGCTTTCCGTAGCCCTTCTTCACAATGACCAGTGTC